GCCATGATACCATCTTGGGTGGATTAGAGATTAGTTTTGTGATAGATAGATAGATAGATAGATAGATAGATAGATAGATAGATAGATAGATAGATAGATAGATATTTTCTGTGTTTTATTTTAATCGGATTGTAGATGCTTTGTGTATTTTTAACTTGGTGAACTGTCAAGAGCAGTTTGGGATTGCAGTGGTCTATAAATGTAATTAATAAACTGTGGTTAATTTAATGTTCTGATAAACAAACCATAGTTGGCTGAGTTCACATATGCTAATTCATAAATGATACTTTACATACAATGGCTGGGACACACAAACACACTGAGCTACAAAACAAACAAACAACCACATTATGGCTAAGTGCAATGTCTGGACCAGTCACTTACAAAAATTTGCTACTGAGAAAAACCATTGTTTAAGTTAGAACTGCTGGTGCAAATAGTGACTATTTCACAGAATGAAAGGGGGATTGAAGTGCTTCATGAAAAGCGCTGTATGTATAATTAACTTCCTACAACTTCCTAGCTTACCGAGTCCAAATAACTTTAAGATTCAGCACAATTTATTTTAAAATATAACCAATCTGCCAAGCTAAACATACTTTATACAAAAGCCTGAACTGTTTCTGTTGACTGTTTTAAAGATACTCAGTCCTGCATTGTCTGCCATTGACAGACTGTGGCTAAGGTCAAGCCTTCTTATTTTAACAAGCTTCATATTTTCTTCAGTCACAAATGTATTATAAATTTAAAAACTCCCACCCAGAGGCCAAGGGGGAGGGGGCGGGATAGAAGCAGGCCTTGCACTTCCCTCCAAGTAAAAGAAGATGGATGTAGTGTCAGGCTCAATTAGATCCAATTGTGCTGGCTTTTGCCAATGAGAACAATGCAGCTTTTGTGACCAGCTCCCAACAGAAAGCATGGAAGTTTAAATGAAAGCAGCAGTCTAGGCCAGCCTTCCTCAACCTGGCACCCTGTAAGTGTTGGACTTCAACTCCCATAATCCCTACCCAGCACCACCCCTGGTGTCCTTTTTAAGTTGAAGTACAACTTCCACATTTGGGAAGTACTGGATTGGAGGAAGATTTTGGAAAAGGCTGCCTCAGTTCTCTCCTAAGGCAACAGCAGAAGTCCAAGCAAACCGTATTCTGGACAAATGGTTCCTCCCTCCACCCACCGTCTTGTTTTAAAGCTGAAAAATGGTCTTATTCTTTTTCCAGTATTGAAACACAAGAAGTTATCATTAATTGAGGTATTAAGGAGATGTTGTCTATTGATGGTTGTATTGCAGCTGAAGAAGTGTTGGTTTTTTCCCCCCTACCTGTGACACAGAGAGTTGACTTACCTGGAGTGAGTTAGGGAAGATGCCAATTTTAGAGAACTGCTTCAGTGGAGCACCAAACAGAACAGCCGGTGACAGCCCTGGAAGTGCTTGAAATGCAAATGTGCAGGAACTCCAGGGCCTCCCCCTCCCCCAGAGGAAAAGCCGCTTAAAGACAGCCAGGCCTGGAGAGGAATGTTAAAAAAAGGGAAATAGCCACCCCTCCTCCCTTCCATAGGGACCCTCGCACAGCAAGATTCAGTCTGCATGACTGAACAAGCAAGCAAGCAAGCAAGGACAGCTCCTTTTTAAACTTTACCGAACAATGGATTTGCCTCTTTCCACCATTTCAGATTCTCTCCTCCCCCCCCCCCGGCCATCCCTACTTTATTAATAAGGGGGAGAGAAAAACATATTGCGAGGGGGAAAAAAGTTTGTATTTTGCATTATACTCTGGAAGTACTGCTTAACCTCCCTCCCAATTTTTTTTTTAAACCCTCAGTAGAGAAGTTTAGAAAAAGATCGCTATCAGAGGAAAAGTCAGAGATGAGTACAAAAGCACCTCCCCAATCCAATTTAGGCTATTTTAACATCCAAATTTGGTATTTATTTTTATTTGAAAGCCTGGATTACAAATATTTCAACCTTCCCCCAGTTTCTCCAAATTCACTCAACTTATTGTGCAACAAACTAAAAGGAAAAACTACATATTCTTAGCATCTGAAAAAGTTTGTTTCATTTTTATGCCAGGAGGCATTTGCCCAACAGTGCACTAAAAACCATTAGTTGGCAGGCTCAGGTACAAACTGTACAGGTAAGATAACCTAGAAGTTCTAAAGATCCTTCTAAACGGAACCATTTGCTGTACTGTGAACTTCTAATTTGGAAGTTACTTAACCTTTTATGCTCAAAGGACAAAGCATTCCAGTTTGATTCACTAGACCAAATTGCTCATTAACCAAGGAAGGACTGGACATCAACTCTCCTCACAACTTTAGGATATATCTGCCTTTTAAAAGATGAAGACACACATGCAACTTTTTTTAGAAACATACTTCATATTTCTTCTTTTATTATATAAATATCAGTTTAGCCTTTTACTGTAAGAATATAAAATGTTTTAAGAGGATCTTTAATTTTATACAAATTCACAAACAGTACATTTATTCCATGATGGGGGCTGTGTGTCTGGGCTTGTCCAAATTTCGTGACCTAGAACTGTGGAGGATTGGAAGAATCTACATAACTGGGCCTTCCTCCCCCATAAATTTTGCTTTCTTCAAAATTGTCTTGATCCTCCTTTAAAGACAAGCATCAAGAAGTGGCTTTATTTTAAAGACAGAATAAAAGTTGACTTGAAATTGACTTTTTCCCATTCATGTTGCAACGGCAAGTCAGTCTGTTCTGCTTGCTCCTCTTTGGGCACTTCCTTACAGGAACTTACCTATTTGATCTAAGTAATTTGAGAAGGGAAGGTAGGAATTTGCATATATTTAAAGAAACGAGTTCCTACTTTCACATTTCTTTAATCATTGCCCAATCACTAATTTGGACATCCCGGTGTTTGTGCTAGAAGAGTGAGAACACAAAAGAACTGGTGGGTCTCCAAAACTTCAGTCAAAAAGGAAGAGGCATTAAGATTATAGGTGACAGGCAGGGAGCAAAAATCCCCAGTCACTTTTCCTTCTCCTCTTCCTATTTCCCCCTCCAAATCATAAACCCCAGGGAAAATCTTTCCAGTCTAGGCACAACATATTTCAGTCTCAACTTTCTCATAAAAATTCCAACATTGGAGGAGAAAAAAACAAAACAAAACAAAACAAAAAACAAACAAAAAAAACCCAAACCAAACCCGAGGTAGCCAAATGTTATGTTGTGATAATATACTGAGCAAGGAAAAAAGTACTTAAAATCCACAAAATAGCCACTTCAGCTGTCTTCAAACTTATTCCATGTATGAAGAGGATAAGAGAACAAATAAAACAGCTAAGGTATAAAGGGCGAGAGAAGGTAGTAGAAGGCATTTTGTTGCATTTCTAATGTTAATTCCGTCACTCTGCCTCCAATCCTCCAAAAAATGAAATTGTGGCATATATATATATTTATTTATATTTTTAAATCCCCGCTCCCCAAAAGATGAAATAAGTAGGAGGGGAAAAAGCCACAGAAACATAAAAAGTAAAAAGATGATTCAACTTTGTAATGGTTCCAGCAGCAAAGGAAAGATGGTGATGATGTGGGTTGGATACAGCATAAAATGAGTTTGTGGAGAAAATGTGGTGGCCCTCTAACCAACAATGAGCAAAGCGAACACACATTCTAGTTAACACTCCAATTACAGTGGCATTTCAAAAAAGCGTCACTTCTCAGTAAAAGACTTGATGTTTCTAACAAACTGGGAAAAAGCAGAAATGTGGGGGCGGGGGGCAAAAAACCAAGGGTCCTAGGGTTTAGAAGAGGTAGAACAATAGGGCCAGGAAAGACTGTCCTTTTGAGACTGGAGGATTTCTGCCAGTCAGTATGAGCTAGAGAGACGAATGGCCTGACTTGGTGTAAGGCAGTGTCCAAGTCAATTTGTTATCTACAGGTTGCCCACGTTACAAAAGGGATGGCTCACTACAAAAAGCATTGTGGGAGTTGATGGACGAGCGTAGGAGAAAGGGACTAGGACAGGAAGAGACTTTATTTGCCCAGTAAAGGGCAGGTCTTCATGAAAATAAACAAGGATAGGATTCTTCTTTTATCCCTAGTGCAGAAATAAGTGAAATCAGGTTTGAAGAAAGGGGCTGCATCCGTCCCCAGTGCATAAACGATTGAGAAGCTGCATTCCCAATAAAAGTGATACTGTATCCACCCACAGGGACGGCTGCTGTAGAGTGCAGTTGTCTCCCTCTGATTCAGAGGAAGGAAGGAAGGACTTATGAAAAAAATATGGTCCCCCCTTCTCCCACCTCCATTGCTAGGGCACAGAGGTAGGGCAGGCGGGCAAGTAGCAAAGATACTTTCCCTTCCCTCCCTCCCCCCTTGGAGGACTACCCTCCCCCTCCACTTTTCTCTACCGCAGCAGTCAGTTGGTGAATCCCTCCAGAGGGATGGGGCGCTCCGGGTGTCCCCTCCTCTCACCTTACTTTTTCACTCTCAGTCATTTGCCAGAGTCCCAGATTGAGCACCTTGAGGCAGGGCAGCTGGGTGATGCGCTCCAGACCTTTTTTAGTGATGCGGGTACAGCCATAGAGGTCAATGCCCGTGAGCTGACTAAGGTGCTCAGCGATAAGCTCCAGGCCTTTGTCAGTGATGCGGACACACTGGCCAATGTTGAGGGTGCGCAGTCCGTGCATCTGGCGCACCATGCGGTTGATGCCCTCGTCGCTGATGTGGCAAGAGCAAAGGGAGAGAGAGCGCAACCCATCAAGGCCCTGTGCAATGTAGGCCAGGCTTTGGTCTCCGACTTTGTCACAGAAGGAGACGTCCAAGCCTGAAAGGCGCAAGCTGCCCATGGCCAGGTGCATGATTCCTGTGTCACTAATGTTGTCGCAGGAGCGTAGGTTCAGCGTGCGCAAGCTGCTCATGTGTGACAGGTGCAGCAGCCCTGCATCTGAGATCCCCCCACAAAAGCTGAGGTTGAGCTGGCGCAGGCGAGTGAGACCCCGGGCCAGATGCTTGAGGGAGAGGTCACTGAGCTTCTGGCAGTCCTGCAGGGTCAGCTGCTCCAGCCCCAGGCAGCCCTCTGCCGCGCTCCGGGTCATGCCCGCCAAGTGCCCAATGCCCACGTCGGAGAGGTGGCGGCAGGATCGCAGGTTGAGGCTCTTGAGGCGCTGCAGGCCCCAGGCGATGAGCAAGAGGCCGGTGTTGGTGATGTTGCTGCAGCCCCCCAGCTCCAGCACCTCCAGCCCCTTGAGGTACTGGGCGATGCGACCCAGGCTGCTGTCGGTGATCTGCTTACAGAGGCTGAGGTTCAGCGCGCGCAGGGAGCTGATCTCCGCCACGAAGGCATGGCCCAGCCCGTTGTCGGTGAGGTTGTAGCAGCCGCTCAGGTTGAGGCTCTCGATCTCCGCCATGCCCTGGATCACGTAGCTCAAGCTGCGCCGCAGCGATAGGATCTGCACCCGGCGGATGCCCCGCGCGGCCAGGCTGGGGAAGAGGGAGGGGTTGGCGCGGCCCCCGCGCAGGCTTCCCCCTCCCCCCCCCCCCCCCCCCC